GTAATTCACCAAAATAAAGAATTTTCTAACACATGAAGACCGATCTAATATTGCATCGGCAGAATTTCATGCTTGCCTTACAAGTGCCCTTGGCATAATTAGCCACTTTTTTATGGCGCGCTAATTTTTAATTAAAAGTGGGGCTTATATACAAATTGTGGTTTGTCAGGTTTGGCAAATAGACTAAAAAAAAGTACAACTTCACTTCAAGGAGATTAGCTTCTATTTGACACATTTCAGCCTTTCAAACAAAAAGTAGGATTTTATACAGTACAGCAGAAAATATTGGAACAACGGGGCAAAAAAGAGGAAAAAGAGAAAGAGAGTGGAGGTATTATCTCTCCAAAGCACATCTACTAAAGTAACAGGCTCTTAGACTACCATGAAAAAGAGAAATGAAACTCTATTGTAAATACATTTTTTATCTGAAATATTTGAATTAATGAACAAAATCTGAAAAATGATTACTTCTAGAAATTGGGGTTTGAGAGTCAGCTGGGAGAGGAGTGATTTCATATTAAACCTTATACCCTAGTATGCTATTTCATATTTCATCAGGTTGTACCACTCATGTGCATTATTCTTATAATATAGACATAGTAATGGAAAAATATAAGCCATGTTATTGATAATTCTAAAAATATACTTGCCATGTAAGATGTCAAGAAAAGTAGAGGCAATTGAATAAGCTTAAAATATATATCCGTATGAGCATAAGGACTATGTAGATGAAAGATAGGTTCATGGCTCACAAGATCTGTGAAAATTAAGACTGGAAATGAGATTAATGTGATGAAACAGAAAGAAAATTTGAATCTGGTTACTCAAAAGGTGCTTTCATTTAACATGTGTCTATTCACATAAGCAGAGTAGATAGGTCAGGTACAACCTGTATAAAGAATAAAATTCTGGGGCCAGCATTCTGGCATAGTGGATAAAAGCAACATCTCCGACGCCATATTCCTGTATGGTTGCTGGTTCGTGTCCTGGCTGCTCCACTTCCCATCTAGCTCTCTGCTAACAGCCTGGGAAAAGCAATGGAAGATGATCCAAGGGTTTGGGACCCTGCTACCCAAGTGGGAGACCTGGATGAAGATCCTGGATCCTGACTTTGGCCTTGCGCAACCCTAGTTGTTGTGGCCATCTGGGAACTGAATCAACAGATCGAATATGCTTCCCAGACCCCACACCCCACCCGCTGGAACTCAGACTTTCAGATAAGTAAATAACTTTTTAGGCCGGTGCCGTGGCTCACTAGGCTAATCCTCCGCCTTGCGGCGCCAGCAACACCGGGTTCTAGTCCCGGTCGGGGTGCCAGATTCTGTCCCGGTTGCCCCTCTTCCAGGCCAGCTCTCTGCTGTGGCCCGGGAGTGCAGTGGAGGATGGCCCAAGTGCTTAGGCCCTGCACCCCATGGGAGACCAGGATAAGTACCTGGCTCCTGCCATCGGATCAGTGCGGTGCGCTGGCTGCAGCACGCCGACCGCGGCAGCCATTGGAGGGTGAACCAATGGCAAAGGAAGACCTTTCTCTCTGTCTCTCTCTCTTTCACTGTCCACTCTGTCAAAAAAAAAAAAAAAAAAAACCTTTTTAAAAAAATTCACTGAATGTGATTGTGCTTTGCAAAGCGTAAGAAACTGCAAATGTCCAATATTAAATATTTACACCTATATTATCGTGTATCTATATAACAGAATTTCATGTAGCATATAAAAGTGACATTAGATAATATCTAATGACATAGAAAAGTATGCCCTATTTACCAGTATATGAAATATGTTAAAACTATAAGCATATTTATTATTTATGTGAAAATAAAAGTATGTATGTCTTTATATTTGTACACACACACCAGAAAATTTTCTTTTTCCCCCTGAGATAATTCTCCAAATATGTAAAATTCTGATTTTATTCTTCCTCCCTGATTTTCAAAATATACTTAAATAAACTATCTTTATGAAATTTGTAATATAGAAAAAAATTTAGTTTAAAACCTAATGTGTAAGATGATAAAATAGAACATTCCTGAATATTCTCAGTGAACTGTTTTTACATTTCATCATGTTCTATGCTCTCAGGTAACTTCCCATTGTAGAAACTGTTATATACCACTGAATACAGAATGCAGGAAAACATGCAATACTGTTCACCCACCCAAAAGAAAATGCTGGCGTTTGTTTGGATGAGTTTCTAGGAAGACATTAGATTTAAACATTCCATGAGAAAAAAACACCAGCAACAGAACACTTGGAGAATTTATTTAACAATACCTACCAATTTGATGATGTCTGTGAATCATTCCAAATCTGTAGATCTATGATTCTGTGAATAACTAATGAAAACTGTAAGATATTAAATATGTTAATAACTTACATTTTGCTGAATCAATATACTAAAGACATTACACATATGGTGTTCTACAAAATCCCTAAGTTTTTCTATAGATTTCACCAAACTCATTTTAAGGAAGACACTGGAGTGTCAAGACCACATTTTCATTTCATTTTTACTACTATTAAGTACCCTGAGGAAGTTTTGATTTTATATCTACTCTTCCACAAAGTCTTGGATCTTAATTACTTTCTTATTCTAGGACGGAGTCTTCAGAGCTTACCAAGCTAGGCTGGCAATAGCAGGACCTACCATCAAAATGCTTATGGCAGCAATGAGAATCAAGTTGTGCTGATTCTGGAGGCTTTGGAAAGTTCAGCATTGAGTTCCAGTCAAGGTGAGTGAAGCAGGCATTAATGTTCACCATCATTCTTATTGATCTCAAGTCTTTGGGAATCCATTGGCAGACTGAGGGGAATGGGTGCAATTCAATGTCTTTAAACTGTTGTTTCCATAAAACACATTTACATCTCAATACTCATTTCCACAAATCCTATGAATCTCTATATGTCAGGATAGAAATTTCAAATATCACCCAAAAGTTCTGAAGCATGGATATGGCTTTGTAAGTTCCTGTAAGTGCATGATGTGCAAGCAAAGAGTATACAAATTAACATTTGTTCTAAATGTAACTATTGCCTAGTTAATATTTCTCCTTTTTCTCAAATGGCAATAATATTGCCTATAAAATGTTTTGAACTGATTGAATTAGCTGCTTTGTTTTCATTCAGTCCTGTCCATCTTTTTCTTAATGAGTGAAGATATTCATAGTTTTCATAATTTTAATTTCACATTTACTTATTAGATGATTTTCACAGAATTATTTTCTGGGTCTCTGTTTCTACTTCCAGAAAAGTGATAATAACATATAAGGATTTTAAAGGGTTATATTTAAAGAAATATGTGAAAATTCTGAGAATAATTCAAGAAAATAAGTAGTTTATAAATTTTAACTTCATTTCTTCTAACAGACCTATGAAATAAACTTTCAAATGTGCAGTTATTCAACTATTGATCTCATAGAATCAATTTTATTATAAAAAGTACATTGACAATATCAACTTTGCAAATAAACTGAATCAAATTTCTTGCATTTAAAATCTATGTTAGACAACATAACACAGTTATAACCTTATGAAAAAAATAATCCTAAGGAGTAAAACATTAGAATTTTTCAGGGAGCTCAGATTACAGAGTTTAATGAACACAATGCTTACAGTTTTTTAAAAAATTCTCATATAGAATGGCCAGTTAATTATAATTTACTTGTCTATTGTCTTTTTTCTTGATTTCTGATGTTTATACATTTGATTTATTATAAAACTAATACCTTTCAAAAATTTTTATGAATAACAATAGCCAAATTTCATGCTTGTGAATCATCCTACACATCTCTGAATTACTTTCAAGATTATGGTGTTTTTTTTCAATTTTCTTGGAACAAAAATGAGATACTTGGTCAAACAAATGCAATATTAGTGATGGAAATGAAATTTACACTGATTTTATGGCTAAAAAAATGGTATTTTAAGTGAAAAAGTATAATATGTTTCATTAAAATTTCTTGTTTTAAGAAATCTTACAAACATAAGTAAATCAAAATTTGGTGGAACAAGCCTATAAGTATAGGTGATCCTATCAAAAGTATAATAGACAAGGACTCAAATAAACTCTCGTTTCCTAGAAGCAAATGTTAGGAACTAACAATGAAAGATATATCAAATCAGGCCTGTGTGAGATTAAAACTTCAAATAGCTTTTAGCTTTAAAAAAATCATACTGTTAGCATTCAGTGACAGAATGAAAGATGATTGCCTTGTGATATTTTTAACATAAATTTATTTCTCTCTTTGTTCTTTTCTATTTTTTGGCATTAAGCTATAGAATACTATCTCCAAGTAGGGTTTTGGGTGAATTCCTAAATGAAATCCACAAAATAAGAAACAGGCAAAACATTGCTGATTGGTTCCAGACATGAGCAGCATAAAGAATTCCCTTAGCATAAGAAATAAAATGGAAATGTTGATAATTATCATTCCTATCAGAGTTATATGAAGTATTTTTTATATCTTAAAAGCTAATGTAAGTTGCCTTCTTGGTAAAAATTAAGTGAGGCCAAGTAAAACAGAAAGGATTCCAAGAATGATGGGCAGAAGGACCACAATCCTCTGAGTTTGCACATTTGTATTTTTCTGAAATTGTTTTGTTTATGATTTATGAGACCTTTAGATGAACATGAAAGTTGGCTGAGTTAATTGAGCTTAATTATTGCCACAACCACAGATGTAAAGAGGTTTCTGAGAGCAATGTTCTCACTGTGAGATGCCTTATTTAGAGTAAGACTTAATTCTTGGTGAAAAGCTATGCTATGTGAACTAGTTAAACATCTCTCTCTCTCTCTCTCAATCCATAGGGGAAAAAAAACAGGGCTGTGCTTGCTCACCACGTCCACCTGCACTTCGTTAGAGAGCAGTGTTCTCATGCCACACCACAAGAGCCCCACAGTGACATAACTCCACTCAGAGACTGGCGTGACTGGGCTGGTCCCCCTCCCTCCCCAGCTCTTGTATCACTAAGAATCTGGCAGCCAGCTCCGTCCTGACAGAGTTTACAGCATATATTGGTGGATTCTTGTCCACAGTGCATCTGCTTTAAGAATTAACGAAAGCAGAGGCAAGACAGTAAGGTAAGTGCTGTTTTAACTATTGCACTGGGGATGCTAACTATTTGGGACAGTGTTTATTGTAACAGGAACAGAAGAAGAAGAAAAAAAAAACTCTAGAATCACTTTTCCAACTGCTATTCAGCAGCAAATTCAGTTGTGATCATTTACTTTTGTCTTTTGCTTAATATGCTTTCTATTATTTATGGATTTTAGATAAATTTTACACAGGACTTTCTGTACTGCTTGGCAAGAGAAGTTAAAAATGTTTCAGAGTTAAAATGAGAAATTGTTAGAGACTGTGAAAAAAAGAATGGAAATTAAAATGTTTGCCATTTATCCAGTTATATATGTTAGAATTGTTGAAACCTAATATCAGATCAAAGAAGGACATTTCAATCAGCATTCAAAATACTTTTCAATGAATATATTTTTGCATTTTATAATAAACACCCTATGTTGTTATAAAATGTGAACTAAAGTACTTACATACATATAATTACTTGCTTCTATGTTATTGTTTTTAAAGATTTATGTTTTAGATGTAAGTCTTAAGGAACATATTTTAAAGTTATTCTGGAAAATGATTTACTTTTTGAAAAACCTATTTCCTCTACAGCAACAGATATGTGAAAGCACAGGAGAAAGTATATTGTGCTTTTGCCTCATAGTGGAGGCATTATATGGGCACAAACTCATTTTTACTCTGTAAAAAATATGGAAGATTGTTTTTGCTACCATTAAATACTCACATTATATTTCCCATGACTATCTATCACTAATTTAAATAAAATGGGAGCTTATTAATGAAGCAAGACAAATGTTAACAGTATCAACATACTGTAATTTATAAGGGATTTTAGGAGTCTGTCATCATGTTATTTTTAGTACTATTGAATTATTATCATGGTCAAGTCATGTAAACTAAATTGAATGTCCCTATTTTAATTTTAGGGAATAACTTACTAAGATGCTATTATGTCAACAACTGAAGTGTTTCTAATACCTTTCATAAATGTTTCATTTTCTGAAATCAAGTGCCTTATGATTAAACTTAAAGCAAAGAAAATTTATTTAAAATTCTTGGCCCTCAAAATCCTCCTTATCCAAACCATCGTGAGCCAATAGTTTGTGTCATACTTCTCAGAGGAAGATGATAATATTCTTTGCTACATATTGGAATGTTCTTCTTGATTTAACTTCTCTCCAAGAGCTACCAACTTGCTCAGTCATAACTGCACTCTACAAAAGTCCAACCCTTATATCTTAATTGTACTTCACCTACATGACTAATTCTGTACTTCCTCCAAACAATTAAAATGTGTTTTATTGATATTCATTTTCAAAACATGTACATTTGAGAAGATAACTCTTAGAGTTTATACTAAATCTGTGTCAGCTGATTCCTTCACTACATGTTTCCTAATAGTAGTGTTAAATAAAACTTTTATTTAATTCCAAGTGCTCCTGTACTATCATTATGTGAGGCCACTAAAATCCAGATTAGCAAATCATGACCCCTTAAATTTTGGAAGGAAGAAAGTAGAGAACTTGTAATTGAGAGAGAGAATTTAATTTCCAAACTTGAAATAAAATATCTTTCTCTACCTGTTTGAATCCATTTCTAGATGTGGGAATTCTTAGAGTTTTTCCTGATTAATAAACATAAGTCTTAAATATTAATTTCCTAACAGAGTTTTGTAAAGAACTTAAAAGTATGGAATATTAGACAAAACTTGAAATCTTATAAATACACCATAAATTCTGTTTCCTCTCCTAAGAACCAACAATAACCTGGCAGTTTAAAATTTATCATCCTCCTCCCACCCCCCCACACACATAATAAGAACACTCTTCTTCCAAACCAACCCATGGATTGCCCATGTTTCCAATAAGGATCTTCTTAACAAGACATTTTAATGATGTCAAATAGTAGGGTGAAGTGTACAGTCTGCAATTGTCTTCTAATTTTCATTTCTTCTGGTTTTGAGGGATATTCTGAAACTGTGTTCTAACATTGTGGTCAATGAGCATCACCCAGAAACTTCTTACAGGAAGGCATTTCATTCAGGAAGCACTTGAGCTGACAAGGACAATTAAGCTTAGCTCTCCCAAAAGGGGGCGCCTGTGTATGCAAACAAAATTGAAGTCCCCTTTTCTCTGCCCTGAAGTTATAAACTTACACCCTTGCCAACATACTTACATGAAATATTTTAAAACATCACTTAAGACACTATTGTAGATGCATTGAAAAAGCATAAAATAAAATACATATTTGCTAATGCACTTAACATTGAAAATAAAATTTCTTTTTCTTGAAGGTATGCCATTTTTATAATAATATATGTTTCCACTCTATTTAGGTTTCAACCATTTGCTGAAAATGAATCTAGCTGCATTTACTCTCTTCCTGGCATTAGTCAATGGTGCCAGTGGCCAATACTATGATTATGATTTCCCCCTTTCAATTTATGGGGTCTCATCACCAAACTGTGCACCAGAGTGTAACTGCCCTGAAAACTATCCAACTGCCATGTACTGTGATGAGCTGAAGTTGAAAAGTGTGCCAATGGTACCTCCGGGAATCAAATACCTCTACCTTAGGAATAACCAGATTGACCGTATTGATGAAAAGGCCTTTGAGAATGTCACTGATCTGCAGTGGCTCATTCTAGATCACAACCTCCTAGAAAATTCCAAGATAAAAGGAAAAGTGTTCTCTAAACTGAAGCAACTGAAGAAGCTGCACATAAACCACAACAATCTTACAGAGTCTGTGGGGCCGCTTCCTAAATCTCTGGAGGACCTGCAGCTTACCCACAACAAGATCACGAAGCTCGGTTCCTTTGATGGACTGCTAAACTTGACCTTCGTTCACCTTCAACACAATCAGCTGAAAGAAGATGCTGTTTCAGCTGCTTTTAAAGGTCTTAAATCACTTGAGTACCTGGACTTGAGCTTCAACCAGATGAGCAAACTGCCTTCTGGCCTCCCCGCATCTCTTCTAACTCTCTACCTAGACAACAACAAGATCAGTGACATCCCTGATGAGTATTTCAAGCGTTTCAATGGCCTACAGTATCTGCGTTTATCCCATAATGAATTGGCTGATAGTGGAATACCCGGAAATTCTTTTAATATATCATCTCTGGTTGAGCTGGATCTCTCCTATAATAAGCTTAAAAACATACCAACTGTTAATGAAAATCTTGAAAACTATTACCTGGAGGTCAATGAACTTGAAAGTAAGTAGAAAGCCATGGCTGTGTTTAATTGATGCAGCCTCAAGCGATTAAAGGCATAAGCTGTACAGCCTAAACACAGCAACACAAAAATATATCTCTAATTCAATCATATAAGAACACTGGTTCAATTGTACATCCAATATCTGGCCTTTTCTGAGAGTATGCAGATGAGGAACAATTAAGATTATAGTATTTGATGTTGAATTTCTTCAAATTTAATTAATAATCCTACTGTGTTATCTCTTGATAGCTACCTGTCATTGTTTGCCTCCTTCATGACTTCGACTTGGTCTCGCATTTGTTTATTTGCAATATCCAGCTGAGGGAGGAATAAACAAGTTCAGAAGAGGTAGAGCTATGAAAGGTGGTGAAATCTCCCTCCCATTTGTCCCCATAACAGACCATATCTTCATGGTCTTCCCTGATATCTTTACTTGGTACTCAACATGTTACTCTGTTTCCATGACAATCAGCTACCTCTCTTATCTCTGATACAGTATGTATGGTTTTCATAGCATTCTGATGGGGAATCCAAGAATGAAGGGGAGAACCAAGAGGACGGTTTGGGACATCTTTATTATTATTATTGTTATACAACCCCTTTTTATTATACACAATGTTTACACTAATTTGATTTTCCTATAGTTTGTTTTTTCCATTTTCTTGCTGCCATAGTTCCATTTTTAATTTATCTTCTGGGTGAGGTTAGACCTTATCTACTTGGATTTTGTGTGCATCTTTCTGACCTTATGGAAACATTATCAATTTAAGCAATACAGATTCAGGGACCATTCATCACCTTAGTCTTTAACAAAATTTGGCAGAAGAGAAAAGCCAAGATTCATGGATAAAGTTTTTAAAATGAAAAACCAAGTATGAAACACTGATTCATATTTATGGCAATAATAGCTACAACTTAATCCGTTGAAATTTAACATCTGTATTTAATGACATTTGGTTCCAATTTTATACTGGAGAAGAATATTGCTATCAGAAAAATTATAATGTATCCTATGAATGTGATATGTTGCAATTCTGCAACAATTTCATGAAACTTCTTGAGGGTTGGGATGGTCTCATAAAGGAGACCACAACTGCCAACTATGAAACTCCACATGTTCTTTGCTGTATCTGGAAGACAAGCAAGGGTTGGTGCTGTTGGACTACCATCCAATACACAGTCACACTAATCTAACTAACCCCCTAAAGTTGTTACAAAACTCACCATGTGGCAACATATGATCCCACATTTTAAACAGCTGTGGTTCAAGGGAAGAATATTCTGATAGGTTATAGTTCCAAAAGGATTAAACATGGGTCAGGGCTGAAGAAATCCGTCAGTTTTAGTAAGTGGGGTTTTGCCATATGAGCAGGATTACTTCTTTTTCTGAAACTAGAAGGAAGAAAGGCATAAATAGAGGCACATATACTGGAATACGCTGTATGGATGAAGCACAGAGTTCATGTGGGATAGGAAAGGCAGCCTATGGCAGAATAGCACCTTGGTACCAAGCTGGGACAGAAAACATAGTACCTAGCACATGGTGGTTATTTGAAAATGTAACATAAAAGGTACCTTTGCTCCTTCTTTCTGCTTGACATCTGGTCAGACATAGTTTGTTAGTCTGCATGTAGCTCCTTAATACAGAATATTTTTCAGGATAATAATCATGCATAAAATTGTCTCTAAATATAAATATTACAGCCCTGGATTTTTTAATGTCTAAGATCAAATTGAGTATCTGATATTTGTGTAATTCAGTATTCAATGTCTAATATTAAAGGTTATATCTTTATTAAGGTATAACCTCGAACTATTTTTCATATTTACAATTCTAAAAATTAGCCTAATCACAGATTTTCCTAATGTGAAAAATTTGGAAAAGAAAAAAATTGAAAGGATATTTTATTACCTAGGATATACTATGTACTGGTACTATGTGAAGTGCTGGACATACCTTAGTTAATTGTATAAAAACTGAAAATTGGCAGAGGTAAAATTTCAGCTCAGTCCTATGTCTAAATTTTCTCTCTGTTGTTTCATCATTTATAAGAAATAGGTACCATGATAAGATCTGGGAATTAGACTGATGAGTTATTTAAGACACCATCTTGGAGGAAAAGAAGTACAGTGTGATTGGGTTTCCATTAAAGTCATTGTGAACTAAGTTTGAGAATGAACAAAAGTAACAAGATAAGTGACCAAATAGTGTTAATCTGCAATAGACATATGTAAATATAGATAGTTTCTATGTATACACATAGATATGTAATCCAGTGAAGTCTTAATTTTTATTAAAAACTGAATCAGTTTTCATTGGTGGCTGCTTTTTTTTAAAAGATTGATTTGATAGGCACAGTGATAAAGAGAGGAGAGATATATATTCCATCCACTCCCCAAATGCCCTCAGCAGCCAGGGCTAGGTCGGGCCAAAGCCAGGATCCAGGAACTCCATTGGATTGTCCCACATCAGTCTTAGGGATCCAAGTACCTGGGCCATCTTCAGCTGGGTTGGAAGTGGAGGAGCCTGGACTCACACTGGCACTCTGACAGGGAAAACATGCATCATAAGCAGCAGCAGCTTAACTCACTGCATCACAATTTCTGTCCCGCAGTGGCTACTTTTTGACCACAGAAGAAAAGAAAAAGAACTTGGATGGTGGACATGGCATGATGTGCTTTTTGCCCCAAGACTTTTAACTACTGTCACAGTATATGGTTGCTGAAAAATTCATCAGATATCGTATAGTTAATCCTTCTTATTTTAGGATGCAAAAATCCAGATGCTTATATGGCAAGGTTGTTCATACAACAGCATCAACATATAAATTTTTTCAGGTCAGAATAAACATTTCAAGAGGGTTCTTAGATAATAATTAAATACTTGTAGGATACTTTTTAAAAGTCCATTGTTAGCCGGTGCCGTGGCTCAATAGGCTAATCCTCCACCTTGCGGCGCCGGCACACCGGGTTCTAGTCCCGGTCGGGGCACCGGATTCTGTCCCGGTAGCCCCTCTTCCAGGCCAGCTCTCTGCTATGGCCAGGGAGTGCAGTGGAGGATGGCCCAGGTGCTTGGGCCCTGCACCCCATGGGAGACCAGGAAAAGCACCTGGCTCCTGGCTCCTGCCATCGGATCAGCGCGGTGCGCCGGCTGCAGCGGCGGCCATTGGAGGGTGAACCAACGGCAAAGGAAGACCTTTCTCTCTCTGTCTCTCTCTCTCACTGTCCACTCTGCCTGTAAAAAAAAAAAAAAAAAGTCCATTGTTATCCATAAGCTGTACTTTGGAAATTTATATTCATTAAATAAAAGTTTGAAAGCCAAAAAGAAGTCAATTTCTAATAATAATTAAGTTCTTTTGTTCGAGAAATTCCACGAAATACTCTTGTCCACCCTAGTTACTGTTCACTAAATATTCCTGCATTATTTTTATAGCTACAAATATGACCTTAATAGTCCAAAATTTAAGATATATAGTACAAGGCTTTACTAATTGAGACTTACTTGATAATACAGATGAGAATTTTTGTAAAGATTCTTGGAAGCCAGTAACTAAAATACTCATTAAAGTTCTCTATTCTTTGATTTGCAGAGTTTGAAGTGAAGAGCTTCTGTAAGATCCTGGGGCCACTATCCTACTCCAAGATCAAGCATCTGCGTTTGGATGGCAATCACCTCACCCAAATGAGTCTGCCTCCAGATATGTATGAATGCCTACGCGTAGCAAATGAAATCACTGTTAATTAATACCTGCTAATTACAATTATGCTGAAGTGTATCCTGGAGCAGTACTCTATGGTTAGGTTTTTTTGTGTATCCATTTTTTATTGCTGTTTATTACTTCCAAAAATTTTAAATTCTGAGGGAAATGTTTTGTAAACATTGACCACATTTTTTTAAAAAAAGGAAAGATGAAAAGCAGGCCTATTTCATCACAATAGCACATGCACACACACATACAAATAGAGAGGAAACTAATGCTATATTTGTAAATTTAGTGTTTTCTATGTCTACTATCGAAGAATGTGCAAAACCTTTTACTGATTGCAGGGAAGTCAGCCAAGTTCTCTCATCCTTAAATCTTAATTTAATGTGTCCGCAAACATGGACTACACATGCATGTATGTTTACTGTCTTAAACAAAACTATCTCAATATGTTCAAATTTACTTTGTTGAAAAATTAGTGGTATATAAGGAGCTCCATAATACTCATGGAAAATTCATGTTATCTTTTAATTCAATTATTGTGTGCTCTTTTGTAGCCCCCTAGTATTATGGGACCAGTAATTTTGCAAAATAGTAAATGAAGTTTATACAGTCACATACACTTAGAAAAGTATTTTTAGTATTAAGAATTTGCATATTTACCTTGTGAAACTTTTCTTTCTTAGAATTAATTTTCATTCTCATTCATGTTCATGTTTCTTTTTGAGTATTTACATGTTATGTTAACAAGTTAATAGCAAAATAAAACAGCAAATGGCATCACAGTGCTTGGTGTTTGTGAAATTCGTGTCTTATATATAAGGTACCTAAAGGAATTGATTAGATTTCAAAAGATATCTCTGTTCTGCAATATCTTACTGATATGAAGAGAGCATTTTACATGATGTAAATTATCTGCTTCTAGAAGCCACTTACAAGGAGTTTTGAAACACGCATTAAGTCTCACAAGGTGCTTGGGTATTTGCTGTTACTTCCATTGCTGTTGTTTTCAGATTCTTATGCAATGAGATCCTGTTACTTAAGGAGCTGCTACAGAATCTCTGCAGTCATCCTTTGGTTGTAAGGTAAAAAGAGTGGCTAGCTACCAGGGTTCTCTAACATGGAATAAGCACAAAATTTTCCTAAAATGAGACCTTAAAAACCAATTTATGTTGTAGTCAACCAGAGGTTTTGAGCTCTGTTATGGGAAACTGGGTTTATAATTTATAAGAATAACTTCCATTTTACCTAGTTAGCAATAAAAACCTGTTTGGAGACTAATGGCATGCTGTCAAAAATGTACTCATTCCTAGTGATGTATACAGAGCCAATTATGTGTACAAAACAAAGGAAGCATTTCTCTAAAGCACAATGTGCTTTGGCAGAACGTTTTCAGTGAACACTATCTTATGGGAAAATGGAATGCCATCAAGAACTGTCAGCACTTAAGACTGAGTTGACTAGCAGATATACGATACATATTACATTAGATACAATGTGCATTTTTATGTAAAAGCTTTTTTTCTACAACTAGGTAAGTTACTTGAACCTTGCGCTGTGATACCACTCTCAGATTATGTTCTTTGGTATAAATTTAAATTTTATTTTCTCTCAAAAGACTGTATTATAGAAGAAATGAAAATAAACTTTCCTCCTGTCATTTACAAAATGCATCATCAATCATTGGAAAGCTATTCTTAAGTAGGTAATAGAGAATTTGCCATAAATTCTCTCTAGAAAGAATGTGAAGGGCTTAAACAGGCTTTTCCTCTGTGCTGCTTAGGGAAAATCTCTTCCCAGCTGGCAATCTGCCTTTTTAAAAGATCTTGATTTCTGTCTATCCAAAGTCCTACGGTATTCTTAAGTCTAAAAACTGTAATTTTCAAAACAGCCATTTCCTGTATAGTTAATGTCAGCTGACAATGATCAAACTCAGTGCCAAGTGATCCTTCTAGTAGAAGAATAGAGGGAAGGCAGTAGGGAGAGCCTACCTGAGGACAGCTCCTCTTTGCAGAGGCCGAATCTTACCTCTTCAGGGCACAAACAGCTGCAGAACAGCAGCTTCTTGCTGGCTCCTCCAGGCACCTTGCGTCAGTGGCCCATCCTGGAGAAGGGTAAAGGGAAGAAAATCTGGAGACTGCCTAATCTGTTCTCCCCGTGCCTGTCCTCCTCCTCCCCAGGTAAGGTAGTGCTTTTCGACATCTTAAATGAATAACCAGCATGTTGTGGTGCTTTGCTAAAAACAGAACACCAGACACAGTATCTCAGGTATATAGACTTGCTTTATTTAGTATGTCACCCAATGTAGGATTCTAACATTTTGAATCCCTGGGTGAGTCTTTTACTGGAGCTTAGTTAGAGTGTTACTATGATATGATACACAGCATAGTTAACATAGCTAAAAAGTAGAAAAGTTTTGTTCTCTAAGGAAGCAACTAGAAATAAACCTGTTATTCACAACATGCATACATGAGGATAATTTTTTTTTTTTTTTTTTGCATCTTCAATGCATTTAAGCACTCTGGTCCCCAATTTCTTCACCTGAGAGCAAGGCATAAAAATGCTGATTTAGAGGCTGGGGTTCTGGCACAGAGGATTAAGTCGCCATCTGTGATGTCAGCATATCATCTGAGGGCCTGGTTTCCAGTCCCAGTTGCCCCACCTCTGATCCAGCTCCTTGCTAATGCATCTGAAAACAGCAGAAGATGGCCTAAGTCCTTGGGCCCTGCCACCCATGTGGGAGACTCAAATGGAGTTCCAGGCTCCTGGTTTTAGCCTGGCCCAGCTCTGGCTGCTGCAGCCATGTGGGAAGTAAATCAGTGGAGGGAAAATCTGTTTCTCTCTCTCTCTCTCTCTGTCTCCTTGTCTTTCTCTCTCTCTCTGTAACTCTGCTTATCAACTAAATAAATCAATCTTTTAAAAAATGCTGGCTCATAGATATTTTTTCTGTTCCATTTTTCTACAGTTTAATTGATGTATATTCAAGGCACAATACACTGTACCTACATAAAGTGTATAGTTCAATGGGTTTTGACATGTATATCTTCATGAAATTATCATAATCAAGATAATAAACTTATCATCCCAAAGTTTCCTTTTGCTCCTTTGTAAAGTCCTAAAGCTAGCGCGAGACACTCCTGCACCAAGCGTATTTGAGAGTCGCTCTGCAATGCTTCTTCCTGCTCATGAATTTTTCCTTTCAGAGCCCTCCAGCTGGTGTTCTATCAAGACAGGTGGCTTCATGTTCATTCTGATGGAATTTCCAGGAAGGCATCTGGGAGATGTGGTCAGCAATAGGGTGAATTTTGAAAAGAACCTTCTCTCAATTGTTTCACTAACAATAACTGTGACTTTCTGTATAAACTTCCTCATCACTGAATTGAAACAAAGATGCATATGGATTCTCTCTTTCCTGATTCACTGGAGACTTCACTGCACTCCCTCATTTAGGAGGAAAATGTAAAACTGAGAAAAGTCCTGCTTTGTTTTCAAAACTCCATTTGGAAATTAGGGCCAGTGGATGCCTTTATGGTGAAGGAAAACTCCAATGCACTTGTTTTTGAGGTTTTTTGAGGAATTATCATGCCCTAATAAGTACAAAAACACTCAAATGAATAACAGACCACTAAATGAGCCAGAGGAATGTTGATTTCTTAGTTAAAAGTTCTCCTACTAGTAATAGCTATGTTTCCAGAAATACTGGAGGGTTAAAAAGACTGGTTTTTACAAAGCACTATGAATTTTATTTTCCCCATGATCTTTTAAATTTTGACTTCCAGCCTCTCTATAGCTGTAATTTCATCATAATGATGGCCTTAGATTTTTCTTTGGTTGAGTTTTGCAACCATCATGCATACTTGCTTAACATTTACCCACAAGCAAAAGAAAGTGCTTATGTGATTTAAAGAGAACTGCAAAGCAATTTCACTTCTATAATAAAAAGTATACCAAATAACAATAAGATCTAAATTAGACATATACCAAATATACAAAATAAACATAAATACATTTTAAAAATATGCAGGAAATTGTACTCATGCATTCAGTAGATTTTGTTTCCAGATAAAACATAAGAAATTAGAACATGGTCAGCGCCTTGGCTCACTTAGCTAATCCTCTGCCTGTGGCACCGGCACCCAGGGTTCTAGTCCCGGTTGGGGCGCCAGATTCTGCCTGGTTGCTCCTCTTCCAGTCCAGCTCTCTGCTGTGGCCCGGGAAGGCAGTGGAGGATGACCCAAGTGCTTGGGCCCTACACCCGTATGGGAGACCAGGAAGAAGCACCATAGCGGCCATCTGAGGGGTGAACCAATGGAAGGAAGACCTTTCTGTCTCTCACTGTCTAACTCTGCCTGTCCAAAAAAAAAAAAAAAAAAAAAAAAAAAAAAGGAGAGAGAGAGAGAGAGATTAGAACACATTGAGAATAGTAGAAATTTAGGCAACATCATAAAATGAGATCCTATATATCTTTTTTTTTAAAGATTTATTTGAAAAGCAGAGCTACATAGAGGGAGAGACAGAGGCAGAGAGAGAGAGAGAGAGAGAGAGAGAATCTTCCATCCGCTGGTTCACTCCCCAGATGACCACAACAGCCAGAGCTACACCAATCCAAAGCCAGGAGCCAGGAGCGTCTTCAAGGTCTCCCGCGTAGGTGCAGGGGTCCAAGGACTTGGGCCATCTTCTACTGCTTTCCCAGGCCACAGCAGAGAGCTGGATCAGAAGTGAAGTAGCCAGGACTCAAACTGGCACCCATATGGGATGTTGGCACTGCAGGTGGAGGCTTTACTGGCTGTGTCACAGTGTTGGTCCTTCATTACTTACCTGTTGACAGCCATTCAATTATGTATCATTTTCATGCTACTCAAAGCCTCACAGCAGGTACCTCAGGACACTGAAGGAACTTGGCAACCTGGTCTTTGGTTAACTTTTTAACTTCGTGTCTTACCAGGTCTTGCAAAGCCTAACCATGTACAATATTAAATTGCTTGGTTTCAACAATACTTACTAGTCTGCAATTAGTTAGGACAATTACTTTCTAAGAAGCCTCTTTCCTTTCTTCCAACAATCCCTTTACACTGTTTCTAGCCTGTAACAAGTATTTTTGTAAGATTTATTTACATATTTGAAAGAGCTAGAGGGAGAGACACACACAGAGAGATCTTTCCATACATTGATTCACTCCCCAAATGGCCTCAATGGACAGAGCAGGGCCAAGCCAAAGCCAGGAGCCAGGAGCTCCCTCCATGGTTCCCATGTGGGTTGCAGGGGCCCAGGCATTTGGGCAGTCTTCCACTGCTTTTCCCTGACCATTAGCATGGGGCTGGATCAGAAGTGAAACAGCAAGAACATGAACCAGCACCCATATGGGATGCCAGCATTTCAGGCAGTGGCTTTACCGGCTATGCCACAATGCCAGCCCTGACAAGCACATCTTTCAAGATTCACCTTCAGGGGCCTGTGCTGTGGCATAGTAGGCTAAGCCTCTGACGGTGGAGCTGGCATCCCACCTGGGTGCTGGTTCGTGTCCCATCTGCTCCTCTTCTGATCCAACTCCTCTTCCAATCCAGTTCCTCTTCTGCTAAGGACCTGGGAAGGCAGTAGAAGATGGCCCAAGTGCTTGGGTCCCTGTACCCATGTAGGAGTCTAGAAGAAGCTCCTGGCTCCTGGCTCTGGATTGGCCCAGTTCTAGCTGTTGCAGCCATTTGGGGAGTGAACCAGCGGATGGAAGACTGGCCTCTCTGTCTCTCCCTCTCTGTCTGTAGCTCTGCCTCTCAAATAAATACATTAA